CTTTAGTATAGTATTTATATTGTACTACTGTTTTTCAAAATTGGATGAATAAACGCAACTCTTGCAGTCTGATTAGAAGCAAAAAAAAAAAAAGAAAACCAGAAGAAAAATGAAAAAATGAAAGAAAAAAAGCAAACAATTCAAAGTTTCCTAAAAAGAAAATTTTAAAGCATTTGAAATAAAGTGAAAAAAGTTTTTTTTAAGAATACTGTTTTTTTTTTTCTAGAATATTTTTTTTTGTTATAAAAATTTTAGATGTTTTCAAATTTTTAAAATAAAATAACATTTTAACCAGAAGATAAAAAGGAATCAAATAATTTGAAAATTGTAAAAAAAAGACTTCTGCTCTATATAGTATGGTGTATTAAAAAAAGTATATAGATTATATTAAACAGAAACAAGAAAATAATTGTTAAATGTTGTTTTGGAATGATAATCAAAGAATTAGCAGGAAAGTTAACTCATACAAATTGGTATTTTTAAAAATAATAAAAATAATAATAAATATAAACTTGAAACAATATCAATTTCTTAAATCATGTTAAAATTAAAATAAGTAATACTACTCATTCTAAAGTCATTTCTAGAGATAATAATCTAAAGATATACAGAAAAAATTCATATTAATCTATAGTAATAGATTTTAATAAACATATCGATTTTATTATATTATAACATAAACAGCCAATAACGATTGAACCTAAAGATTCCACTACCAATTAAAAGTTTATTACAATCCGAGATTTGAAATTAGACATATAACATTAATATTTTAATAGAAACTGTCACAAACGCGATAATTAATTGATGTCATTTTTCGATTTCTTCGATTCAAAAATATAGTAACCACGATCTCTATTACTAATACAATAAAAACTTCATTGATTATCGGACAATATCCGACCACATGTATTCCCAAAATCTTGTGAAAGGGTTAGTACGATATTCCAATAGAACAAAATTTGATTGCTCTAGCATTATTACGATAATCATTAATTGACCTCCTTGATGATGGCGTCGTGAGCCTCGTCCCAAATATAATGTTTTTTGAATTCATCACTTTTCAGAAAATGATCGATATTATGAATGTTGTGATATTTTGCCTAAGGTGCATAAGAATGATCAGTAAGCGACCTTTTATAACCTTCGTCGTTAAAATCAACTGATTGGAGTCTAACCTGTTTACGAAAATCGGAAACCTTAATGATAACGCTATTTGTATTAGTGACATCCGAATCACTAGCTCTTTGGACACGCACTTTTTCTCTGATCAACGTATTAAGTACGTGCAAAAGCAACTCTTGTTGATCTTTGGCTTTATTAATATATTGGGAAAACACCTGAATCACAAAGTAATTAGTAAATGACACAGGAATCAATAATTCAGATTATGTGACAAAGCGAACCTTCTTAAGTTTGCTTGCTATCGAATATTTTTGCGAGGAGAAGAAACTTTGCAACACCACGTCGATCGCAATGTCCAAATCATTTGTATCTGTATTATCTCGAAGGTGCATTCTATAAATGAACAAAAGTAATGCGTATATAAAATTGATATATTCGCCAAAATTTTGGAAATACGAATTTTTACTCTTACCTTGCATGTGCTTCTGCCAAACGCAACATGGACTCCAGATAACGAACAGTAATTGGAATACCACCGCTTTGAGCCTGTAAATGAGATTTACTACCATTTTAACGCGTGAAAATCATATTAATAAAAATACAACAGAAAATTTCATTAATACCTCTTTCCTCAAATTTGAGTAAAGCTCCGAAATCATTGCTTCGTCAAGATTAGTAAGCTGAGGTGTTATCTGTTTAGCATATATGATGTATTTGCGTAGGAGTTCCTGAGGTATAAGCTATGAAGCGGGTTCCATCACGTTATTTATTGAGAAAATTTTCTTGGTAAACACATAAAAATATGATTGTTCACTTGCATTTTGATCTTGTGAAGCCAACAATTCTTCAGAATGTGTTTCTTCGGGATGACTACGAATATGACTATTGACTACAAAATTTGCGAGAATCTCATCTGCGAAGGGATCAACAGTATCTTTGACGACACAAAGAACATCGAACCGAGACAAAATAGGCTCCGTTAAATCTACGTTTTGAGAAAATGATATCGATGTATTATATCGACCTCGAATTGGATTTGCTGCCGCGATAATAGCGCAACGAGCGTTAAGAGATGCGTTTATTCCAGCTTTTGAAATGGAAATGGTTTGTTGTTCCATAGCTTCGTGTATACTTGTCCTGAAAATTAATGAGTTATTTGATCATCATCATCTTTTCTTTAGTAGAAAGTTTTGTTTAGAAATTACCTATCAGAGTCATTCATTTTATCAAATTCGTCTATCAGGCACACTCCTTTGTCAGCAAGAACCAAAGCACCAGCTTCTAAAGTCCATTCTTTTGTTATTTGATCTTTTCTAACTGATGCGGTAAGACCAACCGCAGACGCACCCTGACCAGTAGTGAAAACGGCTCGATGTGCTGTTTTTTCAACATATTTCAAAAATTGAGATTTTGCTGTCCCTGGGTCACCCAGCATGAGGATATTGATATCTCCTCGAAGGCGATGTTTATCTTGGATATTTTTTGGAACTCCTCCAAACAATGACAATGCAATCGCCCTTTTTATATCATCGTGGCCATAAATTGAAGGTGCAATGCTCTTAAAAATCTAATAAAGTTATTTTCAACTTTGCGTTAAGATCAATATATCGAATATGTTTAAAAAAAAAAAATAAATAAATAAATACAGACGCGTTTACTAATTTTGTCATCTTTAGCAAGTTCCTGTATTTGCCTTTTATCTTCTTCGGTTAGTTGATTACTCTCAAACAGGTCCTCCTTCTTTGAAATGTAATTTGCTTCTATGATGGTCGCAAATACCGGGAAACCATTTTTAATATTCAATGATACATCAAAGTTGTTGCGATAAATTCCGGTAACCTCCTATAATGAAAGTTCCAAACCAAAAATAAAACAAAGGTTACGGAAAGTCGAAACAAATTTTGTATCGGTCGTGTGTTCTCATTAAACTCACAATTTCCTCGCCAGGCTTTGCGGAATCAATCAAGTCGCCGAGCAAAACAACTTCTCTATGGCGAGGTAAACGCCCGGCTGGAACCATTCCCGGGCTCTCTTGCAAAGTTATCTTTTGATAATCACTGTATAATGTTTGTTCAGTGTTCAAGATAAATGGTCCTTTTGATTGGCAATGCAAGCAGTGATTTAATTTGATCTCGGTTTGAATATCCTGAGTATATGGCCCAAGAATTCCTCCACATTTTCCGCAATTATACTTCACATATTTCAATTGAGGAAATACACCTGTTCTTCTTGTAATCACACCAGCCACGCGTACTAACCGGTTGAGATTGGTTTGTCTGAAAAGTAATTGTTAAGCTTTGTGCTGAGATCAATCGACAGTTGATAAGGCATGCAAAAGAATTATTGCTTACCTAAGGTCTCGGATATTGGTGAGTGAAGGAAAGTCTGTAAAGCGAACGCGAACCTCCTTACCAAGATGTTTATATCCGGCGTGATTTTGCACACTGACGTTGTACGCGGCTTCATCGAAAATTTTAAGCATCTCTTCAGGCGACTCTTGAAGGAAGAGAGCCAATACCGGTTTACTTTTTGATAAATGCTGGAAATTGACATTCAGACTATGGAGTTGATCTACAAAGAAATAAAACGTCATTGATATTATACCAAAAAAACCATAATGACGGTCAGTCATCTTACCTCTCGTAAGTTCTTCAATGCGAGGACCGTAAACAGACTTTCCATCTTCGACATAGGTTCTTAAAAAATTACTGAATTGTTGGTAAATTCCTCTTCTCACAGCAGGAATTCTGATCCAATCGATCACGGATGAAGCTTTAACTTCTGTTATCTCGTCAAGATTCATGTACTAAAATTTTTAAGAAAAAATTCGATATCGTTCATAACTTTTTAATTTCATGCTCGGGTTTAATAAGTTTTACCTCCTCTTCGTCCTCTTCGTCTTCCATATTTTCGGCTTCTTTATTCTCAATGGGAACCCGATGGCGACGACGTTTATTGATCGGCTTAATCAAATCATTTACTAAAAAAAAAAAAAAACCTTTTTGCACACGCATGTGAAGTTTTTAGGGACCAAAATGCTTAATATGTCATCGTTGTACATGAATGATTTTGGTAACACGGTTGTGTCACCATTTTTTGAAATAACTGACGCGTAACGCGTTGGACGATAAATCAACATCCACATCAGACTTTTATTGATTTCGTATTTGCCTTGGGGTGTAATTCAACAGAACTTAAAATGGTAAGTTGGATAGGAACGCGTGTAGAATATAACTGTAGTTCCATTACTGTAATTGTTAAACTGGCACGAAAATCACGAATATAGTCCGAACGCAAACGTGCAAGAGAACCAAGTCCCGCGTCACAAATACGTTTCAATACCGAACAACCTTCAAGTCCCCCCACGGAAACTCTAACTCTATTGAGCCCTCCAGGCCTTAGGTCGGACGTGGACCTCGACAATGAAGAAAATTTAATTGACGATGAGGTCCTTGACGTTCCGATTTCTGATTCTGAAGGAGAAAACTTATTCGATTCCGATCTTATGGAAAGGTGAATACTCCTATTTAAATGAAACGAAACTTGGAACATGAAAGAGGTTGACACTAACACTGATGCACTCGATTTCTGCACTTAGAGATTATCAAGA